GGTCCTTTAACCTTTTCTTCCGCGCTGGCCGCTGCTATTGCTTCTTGCAACGTAGCATATCCTCGCGATCGAACAATTGTTTTAATTTCGTCTTGCAAGCCTATTTGTAAATTTTCTAAGGCTGTATTATTTCTACTTTCACTTAATCGCGATTATAATAGTCGGGCGCGATACGTACGGTACTTCGATAGTAGTATACAAAAGCATATGTTCTGGCGCAGATTTTTTCCTCTATCATAATCAACTAAAAAAACATTAAAATCTGCTAAGAAAACACCAAAATCATTCATAAAAGCAATAAAATTACAAAAACAACGACTAAGTGTCTGAAAGACTTAGTCCAAGGGACGCTAAGTCCGAAGGACGCTTACGAAGTGATTAGATCCTTCTTATTTATTCATTGGTTATGTGTAGCCTAGCCATTTAACATAAACTTTAATTAAGCCATTTAACATAAACTTTAATTAAGCCTAGCCATTTAACATAAACTTGTTGTTTTATCTTTTAATATTAAGAAATCGGTCGGGTTACGACAGCGTGTTTTTTCACCAAAAGCGATAAGAAAAACGGTTTCTCGATTTGAACGAATCATCGAGCATCGCGGCGATAAGAGAGACGCTTTCTCGAACGAATCATCGAGTATTGCGTGTTAAATAAATCATTGGTGTATCGGGAATGAACACAAAAATAATAAAAATAAAAAGCATAAGAAGAACACGTATTTGAAGCGAACCACGCTTTTTGTCGAACGAATCATCGGTGTATCGCGAATAAACAAATAAAAATAAAAAGTGATCCTCTCGAACGAATCATCGGTGTATCGCGAATAAACAAATAAAAATAAAAAGTGATCCTCTCGAACAAATCATCGAAACCTGACCTGACTTAATCTTATCCTGCCTACCCCAAATTCGCGCAATAGAGATAAAAATAGACGTTTCGTCGAACATTTCTTATTGCGTCCGATATTCCGCGATCTATCGTTCCTCGCGTCCCTCTCGACGCGCACGATGACCACCACGAAGAAGATGATGACTGTTCTCATCCTAGCGATAACGCTCGTCGCCGCGACGACCGCGACGCCCGTCGACTCGGAGAAGATGGAGGCGCTCCGCTTCCTGCGCGTGTACGGTTTTCTAAAGGACGATGGAGGATCATTGTCATCCAGCAACGCGACGTCTCTGCGTCACGCGCTGTCGCTGTTTCAGGAATACTATCAATTGTCCGGAAATGGTGCGTTAAACGCTGATACGCTTTGCCTTATGCGCAAATCGCAATGCGGTCTCGCGGACATTCCCGGTCGCGCGTATAGACCGATTGCGCGAAAATACCCGAAAACGCGTCTCACGTGGAACTTTCAAGTGGCTAGCAAAGAACTCTTAAGAACGGCCGAAGCGGCGTTCGCGTTATGGACGATGAATTCGTTAACGTTCGCGCGCGACCCGCTACGTCCCGATATACTGATATCGTATCGAACAGACGCCCACACCTACGCGAATCGCCGAAGCGGCGACATTTGTCCGGCGGCGTTCGACGGTCCGGGATAAGCCCTCGCTCACGCGTTCTTTCCCTCGGGAACGGCCGACTTCGCGTCGGAGGTGTACGTCGACGACGCGGAACCGTGGCATGTGTATTTGAACAAAAATCCTCCCGATACGTGTCATTTGCTACAAACGTTGACGCACGAGATCGGCCACACGTTAGGTGTACAGCACAGTATGCGCAACGACTCGGTGATGTTCCCGTATATACCCAACGTCGAAAATCAATTTCCGGTTAAGCTGAGCATAGAGGACATCCTCGCTATACAGAATCTGTACGGGTCTCACGACGATGAAAACTATCCAACGATTCCCGCAACCACCATTGCACCCGCGACGACGACGAGCGTCGCGACGACCGACCCCGCGCGCGCGGATCTCTGCGCGTTGCGGCGCGTAGACGCGGCGCTGATAATGAATCGCCGCTTGTACATAGTTAATCGCCACAACGTATGGTCGGTCGACATAACCGAGAGACGCTACGGTAGACCCATGACGCTGACGGATTACGCGACGTTTTTCCCGGCAAATTTCACGCACCTGAACACCGCGTATCGAAGACTCTCGGGCGATCTCGCGCTATTCGTTAACGATTTGATCTACGTCGCGGAATATCCCAGTTTTAAGCTAAAACCGGGTTGGCCGAGATCTTTCCATAATATCGGACTTCCCCGAGACGCTAAGATCAACGCCGCGATAAACGCATACGGGACGAACTTACGCGATCTACGACGACGACAAAGTAGCGGAGATCGATGAATGTCGCTTGATAGCCGTTAGACACGCTCTATTGAAGAATATATTTTCAGGAATACCGCCCGCGATAACGTCGGCCTACCGACACATCGACGATAACCTGTATTTTTTCGCAAAGCGTCAATTCTACGCGTTCAACGAATTCACGAATATCGTGACTTTGACGGGTCCTTTCGACCTTCACGTACTCGGTATCGAGTGTCCTACGGACGGACTGTTGCGACGATTGCGCGATTTTCTGATTCGCGCTTATCATCTCGGCGACGTAACCGAAAGCGACGAGATCGATGAAAAGGACGGGAGAGGCTCACTTGCGCACAGTACAATTGGACACATTGCAATTGCACACTGTGATATTAGACACATGAAGTTACGCACGGTTCGATTGGACACATTTCACTTGCGCACAATTCGTTTGGACACATTTCATTTGCGCACCGTTCAATTGGACACATTGTTTTTGGACACAACACATGTTTTTGTATAATTTAGAATACATACACACGCATGTATAATTTTGAAATTTTTTGACAGTTATTATTAACTTCATTTGATAAATAAACGTTTGTTACAATTCGTTTACACACAATTCGTTTACCCACAGTTCGTTTGCACACAGTTCTTTTGCGCACAGTTCTTTTGCGCACATTTCTTTTGCGCACATAAATTTTAGTTTTAAATCAGAAATAGGTTTGGGTTAGGTTACATCTTCCGAAAGTGGAGCCCCCCCGTAGAGGGGGCAAACCCACTGTGTCCACGCATATACTTTACAACGCGAAACGAGATCCCTATAATTGTTGTGTGGATGGGAAAGTGTGCAAACGAACTGTGCGTAAACGAACTGTGCGCAAATGAACTGTGCGTAAACGAACTGTGTGCAAATAAACTATGCGCAAAAGAACTGTGCGCAAAAGAACTATACGCAAAAGAATTATGCGCAAAAGAACTGTGCGTAAACGAACTGTGTGCAAACGAACTGTGTGTAAACGAACTGTAACAAACGTTTATTTACAAAATGAAGTTAATAATAAATGTCAAAAAATTTCAAAATTATACATGCGTGTGTATGTATTCCAAATTATACAAAAATATGTGTTGTGTCCAAAAGCAATGGTGTCCAATTGAATGGTGCGCAAATAAAATGTGTCCAAACGAACTGTGCGCAATTGAAATATGTCCAATCAAACGGTGCGCAACTTTATGTGTCTAATAACACAGTGTGCAATTGCAACATGTCCAATTGTACTGTGCGCAAGTGAAGGCTTCTCGAAGAGGACGACTGATGAAGCGACTTCTCGCCATCGCTCTAATGTAGTTTTAAAAATAGAATATGATTAAAAGGAACAAAAGACGCGTGCGGAAGGAGAAGCGATTTCTACGCGAGTATGTAAAGATCGCCCAGCTATTAGACACTTCATAGTCGACGACGTACACTAAAGCCTACGAACGAAAAAAAGTAAACGACCATGTACGTGGCAATGGGACAGCAGCATCCTTTCGACGATCGACCGATGCTCGTCAAGCGAAATCGTGAGGATGATACAGAATCCGCGAAGAGAGCGAGGATGGACAGCGTGTAAGAATATTAAACAATATATTTCAAATTAATACTCTTTCGTCCACTAACACTGTTTTGCTCATCGCCCGCATCTACTTTCAGACAAGATTACGACTGGACGTCGAGACGCGACGTCGCGATCGGGCGATCGCTTAGAATCTTGGGAAGATGCTACCCATTGACCAAAACGATGTACAAACATCTCGAAGTCGGTGTTAACGTCAGCCGACCCTTTTACGTGGAAATCGTCCTCGGAAATTGTCACGACAAAGAGATCTCGTTATCGCCGTATGTGTGGAAGGAACTGCTCGATCTACGATCCACGCTTATGTCGTATTTTCAGTGCGACGAGCGGGACGAGATGCGTCTTCCAGCGCCGATATATATCGGACAATTAACGCTGCGATTCGGCAGACTTAGCAATCTCCGAATACTCCGTCTCGAAACGTCCAAGGATCATCTGGTCATATCGAAGAACACCGTGCTAAATCTATTAAACCTGGAGCATTGCATCAACCGCATCATTACATTTACTTTGAGCGGTTTAACCGGATACATCGATAACAAGCTAACGCGTTTCCTTGATATCGCGGCCGGCATCCACGATCGGATGCTTATTCCGACGGCGATACGCGACAGCGAGAACTTCGACCGCAACGATCTAATCGATTGCGAACTGCAGGCTCTGCTCTTCGGAGAATCCTAACGCGCTTTTGTATCTCTGTATCGTTACAAAATAAAAACGCTTTCCTTTATTGCGAGAACCTCTCTTTATTCGACCTCCGTCTATTAGATTTTACGGAAAAAAATTTTCGCTACCATCGCTAATCATGATTTGCAAGATAATTTCTTAAACTACAGCAAAACAGTTTGCTGTTGCACCTAATAAATAAGTATCATTGCTAATTGTGAGATGTTCACTATCGCACCTAATAAATAGGTATCTCGGCTAACAATAAGATGTTCGCTGTTGCGCCTAATAAATAGATATCTCGGCTAACAATAAGTTGTCCGCTGTTCATATATTACGACTGAAATCTAATTACCACGCACAGTTTTTAGCTACGACAGCGAGGTTCGCCCGCGATATTTTTCTTATCTATATAAATAATTTTCAATTTTCTATATTTACATGTCACGGATTATCGCGACTCCCCGGGTCCCCGGGTCAGAGATAAAGCGACGACCGTGTCTCGTCTCTCTCCGATCGACGCGCCGTTAACGCGATCTCCCGCCCGATTTCATCACCTCGTACCCCCTCGCCCCCTCGCCTTCTCAACCCCCTTCTCCCCCTCTCCACGCTCAAGCTCCACCGCGACCCCGACCCCCTTGCTGTACGTATCCCCCTGTCTTTTCCCTCTGCCCGACCTGCCCCCTCGGATATCTTTCTATCTCGTTTTATTCGCATGTTCACTCTCTCCCTCTTACAGGGAGTTTCCAAAGAAAAGTGGGTTAGGACCGGCCTCACTCACCTACTCACGTTATAATCAGCACTAGGATGTTTAAATTGGCATTGAATCGTTTCGTAACTAACATAAAGATCACATCCTAAACTCTGAAACATACTAAAGTTTATGCTAGTACCATCACATGTTACCGACCATACTTTCAATCCTGCTTTTTGTGCAAAAGATAAACATGACTTTACAAGTTCCGCTTACGTTAATGCAGTCATCCTATGTTTAAAAAGTAACCTACAGGGCACTTCCACTTGCCATTTAAACAAACTAACATGAACACAAGTGCTTCACTTGCTTCGGTGTCTGAATCTTCTAAAGAAACGGAATTTACGTAATCGCAATACCCTAAATAGCGATGCTTTCGTGAATCCCACATTATCCGTTTCCTTATCGCCATACCATCCAGAACAAGATTACAGTCTCGGTCTTTTAATGGACGGTTGCTCAGCTCAGTAAAAACGTCGCATTGAAATCCAGGTTTTGTATTAACAGATGATATCCAATTTCTAAGCGATGAAGATAGGGCAATATTAAAATACGTCTGAAATTTAAATCGTAAAGTTTCAAATTATGAAAATTAGCAAGCATTTAATCTTTTGAAATTGCATGCAGTACAACATAGCAAACAAAGGAAAAAAAATATACATGCAAATAGAAGTAAAAAAAGAAATCCATGCTAACCGGTAAAAAACATAAGCTTTTGATGAGTAGTAGTGTAAAAACAGAACATATTGCTTAAGTTCATCAGAATATCGATGACCACAAAATTTTCGATTTTTATTTCTTAATTGGTTTGCAAATATTGCAAAATCACTACCTTCGAATCGATTCTTTAGTGTCATCAAAGAGTCTTTGTCAATTAAGTTCGCCTTTTGTAAAGTATTAAATAACTCCGTCATATTCTGTATTTTATGATCGCGTCTTCTTAGTGTTTGTTTTAAAGTTTTTACTTGACGCGAAAGTTTTTTAATTTTTCCGTGAAGAACTTTTATTTCTTCGAGTGGACTGTCTTCTGTTGTAGAAGTTCCATTCAAAGGAGTTTCCATTTGAGAGATATGCAAGCATTGTTCAGGAATGATCGTACTCTTTTGTTTTTTAGCTGCACAATCATTTGTATATTTATCAGTAATTCGTTTAGATGAAATTACTTTAATAGTTCTTGCACTTTGATGTGCTGATATGTCAGAAACATGTACACAATTTGATTCAGCAGGCACGACATTTGTGCTGTTTCCAGTGTGCTTACTTTCTTGCATCTCCTGTCTTTTTTCCATAGCCTGTAAATAAAATAATTGTAATAGTTGTAATTGTTTCTTTCTTGAATCTATAACTTTAGTACTTACATTTGGCACATATTCTTTATTATTCATATCAATATATACTGAAAGTGATGGGACTGTTGTAAGTTTCAGATGATTATTTTGATATCCAAAATCAGAAATTATATCAGTACTTGAGAAATGCAAGCTACATATTTTGCTTGTTACTGATGGTCTCCACGTTTGACCTCTTCAACTACTGATATCCATAGCTGCAGCCGTTGCTCATCTTCATCATGGAAATCTGTGTCATATATCATAAATTATGGAATTATTAGAAATAAGTGATGTAATTATAATTTGTGTACATACATATGTATATATATTTGTCCATAAATTATAATTAAATGACTTGATGGAACATAACCTTATTCATGAAACACCACCTTATTCGATATTCTAGTAATCGTGGCCAGTGATGCCAGAATTGCCACGCTAGCAACACGCAACCGTAGTGGAGGGGATGACGCACACAGGGTATCTACTGGTTTTTATTTGTTTTTCGGCGACCGGCGCGGTTTCGTCGCGTCTTTCTCACGGTTACTCGTAGATATAGATATTGATAAGTGACTAAATGTTTAAGGAATGTTTGACGCAAGATGCTCTATTTACCGAACGACTCATTTCTATCACCGATCGATTATCATTGCGGCAGCTTCGTGGAAGGAAGAAATCGTGGAGTCACCAGGACGTAACAATAGATAATATATCTCATACAAAAAGGCTGAAAAAAACATTTAAGGCATAGTAAGAAGCGACAATCGAGAAGCGACCAAGCGACGTGTGACGTGTACCGCCCGGTCTTCGTGGCGGCTCGATAAGAAGGAGAGAGACAGAAAACAGTATATCTGTCCTCTTCTGCTATCCGAAGCCAGCCGAAGCGCCGAGCTCACACGTACGCGGTTTGCGCTTGTGTGCGTCATCCCCTCCACTACGGTTGCGTGTTGCTAGCGTGGCAATTCTGGCATCACTGATCGTGGCACATAACTTACTTAAAAAAACTTATTTCTGTTTTCCACTTGCTTTTGCAATTTTTTACACAACATGAAAACGGCATGTTTATTTTTTCCAGAAGCACGGACGCATCACAATACATGAAACAATCTGGCACACAGTGTAGATAAACCGACAAACATATATTACTTTATTTACCTAATGAGACATGATGGAAACTACCTCCACCACTTGCCTCACTTTTCAGCCGGGAGCTATCGGTCTAGTAGTATATAGAAGTCTGTGACTTAACCTTCCTTTATATAACTTTAGTCGACAGTAAGGTTATATAAAGGAAGATTAAGTCATAATCCTGGGCCGCCCATAATGCAATGTGTGCACAATCGTTATTAAAAAGAGATGCTAAATAAGATAGATTGTTATTGGCTCTCACGGCCTTTTGCAATGCATCATGGGTTGCTCATTAGTATACATAGTATCAATAGTATGACTTAACCTTCCTTTATATAACCTTAGTCGACAGGAGACATGGTACAGACTTCTATATATTACTAGACCGCTAACTCCCTTATAAACTGTACCAAAAAATTGACCCCAAAAAGTACGTATTTCGTACGAGAAGTAAACATCTACGCATGCGTGACTTAAGTAAGAATCAGTAGCAGAGAAGAGGATAGGAGCTGGATACGTAATATGGCCGATGTGTACAGACAAAAAGTGTTTGTGTGTGTGTGTATATGCTGTGTGCGCATGTGTTGTGCACATACTTTTCGGGGCCATGTATTTTGTAGGAGTCAGCGGTCTAGTAATATATAGAAGTTTGTGGTACAGACCCACAGACTTCTATATATTAATAGACCGCTTTATTAAAATATTATAGGATTGGGACTTCAACTATTTATAAGGTCATACAGGTGACATGTGGGGGCCTCTGGTGGCTCAGGGAGTAGCGCGCCTGACTCACATCCCAGAGAACTCGGGTTCGATTCCCGACTCCGACCCTGGCCTGCGCTTTCCTATTTTTCCTTTCTTACCACCTCCCTAACACCAATTCCTTCCTTCCCCCAAGAGGAACCTTCATATATACGACATTATTCTATCTACGACATTATTCTATCTTTAAACCAGTTTATGGCCGCATAGCGAGTACTCGCTGGAGCCAATCCCAAACCCAAGCAAACAAGGAGACATGTGAATGTATGAGTGGTACCCGTTTGACCACGTTAATATTGACCACGGTCCCGATTGACCACGTTGAGATTGACCACGGTCCCGATTGACCACGGTCCCGATTGACCACGGTCCCGATTGACCACGGTCCCGATTGACCACGGTCCCGATTGACCACGGTCCCGATTGACCACGGTCCCGATTGACCACGGTCCCGATTGACCACGGTCCCGATTGACCACGGTCCCGATTGACCACGGTCCCGATTGACCACGGTCCCGATTGACCACGGTCCCGATTGACCACGGTCCCGATTGACCACGGTCCCGATTGACCACGGTCCCGATTGACCACGGTCCCGATTGACCACGGTCCCGATTGACCACGGTCCCGATTGACCACGGTCCCGATTGACCACGGTCCCGATTGACCACGGTCCCGATTGACCACGGTCCCGATTGACCACGGTCCCGATTGACCACGGTCCCGATTGACCACGGTCCCGATTGACCACGGTCCCGATTGACCACGGTCCCGATTGACCACGGTCCCGATTGACCACGGTCCCGATTGACCATATTGACCACGTTAATATTGACCACGTTGATATTGACCACGTTAATATTGACCACGTTGATATTGACCACGTTAATATTGACCACGTTGATATTGACCACGTTAATATTGACCACGTTGATATTGACCACGTTAATATTGACCACGTTGATATTGACCACGTTAATATTGACCACGTTGATATTGACCACGTTAATATTGACCACGTTGATATTGACCACGTTGATATTGACCACGTTGATATTGACCACGTTGATATTGGCCACGTTGCGATTGACCACGTTGATATTGACCACGTTGATATTGACCACGGTCCCGATTGACCACTGTCCTGATTGACCACAGTCCCGAGTGACCACGTTGATATTTATCACAATTCCGATTGACCACGGTCCCGATTGACCACGGTCCCGATTGACCACATTGATATTGACCACGTTAATATTGTGAACAGGTTAATATTGACCACGTTAATATTGACCACGTTAATATTAACCACGTTAATATTGGACCACGATCCCGATTGACCACGGTCCCGATTGACCACGGTCCCGATTGACCACGGTCCCGATTGACCACGGTCCCGATTGACCACGGTCCCGATTGACCACGGTCCCGATTGACCACGGTCCCGATTGACCACGGTCCCGATTGACCACGGTCCCGATTGACCACGGTCCCGATTGACCACGGTCCCGATTGACCACGGTCCCGATTGACCACGGTCCCGATTGACCACGGTCCCGATTGACCACGGTCCCGATTGACCACGGTCCCGATTGACCACGGTCCCGATTGACCACGGTCCCGATTGACCACGGTCCCGATTGACCACGGTCCCGATTGACCACGGTCCCGATTGACCACGGTCCCGATTGACCACGGTCCCGATTGACCACGGTCCCGATTGACCACGGTCCCGATTGACCACGGTCCCGATTGACCACGGTCCCGATTGACCACGGTCCCGATTGACCACGGTCCCGATTGACCACGGTCCCGATTGACCACGGTCCCGATTGACCACCGTCCCTATTGACCACGGTCCCGATTGACCACGTTGATATTGACCACGGTCCCGATTGAAAAACCATGTAACACACACACACACACACATGCGGGGGGTGCAAGATGAACCTTCGGCCCCCCTCCCGCACCCCCTCCGCCAGTCAGGCACAATGGACCTCGCTTTACAACTTGCAAAGTACATGCCCTAGTAACGACATGTATTGATCCGTGGTCAATCGGGACCGTGGTCAATCGGGACCGTGGTCAATCGGGACCGTGGTCAATCGGGACCGTGGTCAATCGGGACCGTGGTCAATCGGGACCGTGGTCAATCGGGACCGTGGTCAATCGGGACCGTGGTCAATCGGGACCGTGGTCAATCGGGACCGTGGTCAATCGGGACCGTGGTCAATCGGGACCGTGGTCAATCGGGACCGTGGTCAATCGGGACCGTGGTCAATCGGGACCGTGGTCAATCGGGACCGTGGTCAATCGGGACCGTGGTCAATCGGGACCGTGGTCAATCGGGACCGTGGTCAATCGGGACCGTGGTCAATCGGGACCGTGGTCAATCGGGACCGTGGTCAATCGGGACCGTGGTCAATCGGGACCGTGGTCAATCGGGACCGTGGTCAATCGGGACCGTGGTCAATCGGGACCGTGGTCAATCGGGACCGTGGTCAATCGGGACCGTGGTCAATCGGGACCGTGGTCAATCGGGACCGTGGTCAATCGGGACCGTGGTCAATCGGGACCGTGGTCAATCGGGACCGTGGTCAATCGGGACCGTGGTCAATCGGGACCGTGGTCAATCGGGACCGTGGTCAATCGGGACCGTGGTCAATCGGGACCGTGGTCAATCGGGACCGTGGTCAATCGGGACCGTGGTCAATCGGGACCGTGGTCAATCGGGACCGTGGTCAATCGGGACCGTGGTCAATCGGGACCGTGGTCAATCGGGACCGTGGTCAATCGGGACCGTGGTCAATCGGGACCGTGGTCAATCGGGACCGTGGTCAATCGGGACCGTGGTCAATCGGGACCGTGGTCAATCGGGACCGTGGTCAATCGGGACCGTGGTCAATCGGGACCGTGGTCAATCGGGACCGTGGTCAATCGGGACCGTGGTCAATCGGGACCGTGGTCAATCGGGACCGTGGTCAATCGGGACCGTGGTCAATCGGGACCGTGGTCAATCGGGACCGTGGTCAATCGGGACCGTGGTCAATCGGGACCGTGGTCAATCGGGACCGTGGTCAATCGGGACCGTGGTCAATCGGGACCGTGGTCAATCGGGACCGTGGTCAATCGGGACCGTGGTCAATCGGGACCGTGGTCAATCG